TTTTTGATATTTTTGGGGGTTTTTTGGGGTTTTTTTTTTAGATGAAATATTCTTTTTTGTCGTCGCCGCCGGCCTGGCCGCCCTCGGCGTTGATGATGGCGGTGTCGGCGTCCGGAGCGTCGTCCGAGCCTTTGGCCTCGTGGGTCAGGTACGTCCCTGCGGGGATGGGGATTTGTGGGGTTTTTATGGGGTTTTTTATGGGTTTTTTTATGGGATTTTTTATGGGATTTATGGGGTTTGGGATTGGTGGGATTGATGGGGTTTGTGGGATTTGGGATTTATGAGGTGGAATTTGGGATGGGATAGAATGGGATGGGATTGATGGGATTTCAGGTTTATGGGATTTATGGGATTTAGGATTGATGGGATTGATGGGATTTATGGGATCAATGAGATGGGAATGGGAATGGGAATAGGATGGGATTGATGGGGTGGGATGGGATTTGAGATCAATGGGATTTATGGGATGGGATGGGAATGGGGTCAATGGGATGGGATGGGATGGGATTTGGATTTATGGGTTATATGGGATTGATGGGGTTCATGGGATTGATGGGATTTTTGGGAATGGGAATGGGCTTAGTGGGATGGGATCAATGGGATGGGATGGGATTCCCATGCTGACCAGGACCCCCAGACCACCCCAGACCCCCGATGACCACCCAGACCATCCCAGACAACCAGTGTCCACCAATGGCCACCAATGACCACCAATGACCACTGATGACTCCCGATGACCCCCAATAACCACCGATGAAGACCAATGATCACCCAGACCACCAATGACCACCAATGACTACTAATGACCACCAATGACCACCAATGAAGACCGATGACCACTCAGAGCCCCGATGACCACCAATGACCACCAATGTCCACCAATGACCACCGATGAAGACCAATGACCACTGATGACCACCAATGAAGACCGATGACCACCAATGCCCACCAATGACCATCAATGACCACCAATGCCCACCAATGACCACCAATGACCACCAATGACCCCTGATGACCAACCCAGACCACCGATGACCACCAATGACCACCAATGACCACCCAGACCCCAATGACCACCCACCTTTGTGCCGGATCAGGTAATGTCCGAGCACGATGAGCAGGCTGAGCAGCAGGAACACGATGACCGCCACCACGCCGCCGATGACCGCGTGGTACGTGCTGGATGTCGAGGGAACCGGGCTGGCGTCTGGGGGGAAATATGGGAAAAATTGGGAAAATGGGGAAAAAATGGGGAAAA